AAACAATTATTAACTTTTATTTTACAATCCTACATCGATAAAAAAAAAATGAATTGTTTTGCTTATATAAAATGAATTTTATGCTCCCATTTAATACTGTGCATGTTCCAGTTCAAGATAGTTTAAATTTTAAAAGAAAAATAAAATTTAAAAATTTTAATTAATTAATTTTTGTATAAGTTAGTTGGTCTTTTAACTTAGCCGATTAAGCTTAACCTTTTTCGGTTTGACTGATTTGTTAATTTAATCGCGATTTTAGCGGTTTTATCAAAAAATATTAGTTAGATTTGTTTGATTCCAAATAAATTAAAGATTGACTGAATTAAAGATTAAATGATTGAGATTACTTGATTCAAAATAAACTTCACGTCCAAACAATTGTTAACTTTTATTTTATACAATCCAACATTGAAAAAAGAATAAAAAAGTAAGTTGTTTCACTTATATGAAGTGAAACTTATGTTCCTATTTAATATTGTAATATTGTGCATATTTCAGTTGGAAACAGTTAAAATTTTAAAATAAAATAAAATTAAAAAATTTTAATGATTGAGATTACTTGATTCGAAATAAACTTCACGCCCAAACAATTGTTAACTTTTATTTTATACAATCCAACATTGAAAAAAGAATGAAAAAGTAAGTTGTTTCACTTATATGAAGTGAAACTTATGTTCCTATTTAATATTGTAATATTGTGCATATTTCAGTTGGAAACAGTTAAAATTTTAAAATAAAATAAAATTAAAAAATTTTAATTAATTAATTTTTATTTAAGTTAGTTGGTTTATTGACTGATTCTAGGGTTTTATCAATATACATTGTTTTATTTCTCCAATATATCTTTATGTTTTGATGACAAGCTGTAACATAGAATAAACTAAACTAAAAATTTTATAAAACGAAATGTATTTTTATTTTATTAAAAATATAATTTTTTTAATTTATTCAATTTTTTTTATTTTTACCTATTTGTACGAGGGCGAAATATCCTCTGCTTTCCGTACTCCTTAGACATTAAGCTTCTTGTGACGGCGTCTATCTCTGCAACACAGAAATGGTGAGCTGCCCGGCGGTGGTGTGCCGGATAGACCCTCCGATGATCAAGTCAGACCAATGGAGGAAGAAGAAGGCTATCAGAGAGAGAGAGAGTGTTAGTGATAGAGTGAATTTTTCATACCTCTAGCGTTCCTCTTTCCTTCTATTTCTAGGCTGGCCATGCAGCCTCAAGATTGTGGGCGCACTACCTCTGCTGTCTTTACCTAGACAGGTGACAGTGCTCGCCTCTCACCACCTGATGCGTGTAAAGGCCTAGTCCTCCCACCAGTACACGCAGAACTGTCCAACAGTATTGATGCGTGCGTGGAGCAGATGTCCTCTCCCTCACGCCATTGGCCCAGGTGGCACACCTAACCGGAGTACCACGACCGGCCTATCCCTTGTGAAGAACTGTCACCACATGCACGCAACCGAGCTATGTGTTGCCAGCCTGCCCCTTTCGCAAATCTCCCCTCTCAATTGCCCCTTAGCCCCATCCGACCTAGTCGTGATTGGGGTTACCATCGTGACCGAGCTAACGGATGAGTTGTGCCATTACCAAGCCGAGCGCGATTGAGGGCATACCTGTCACCGAGCTGTCCCATTTGGTCGGCCATTTCCTCTGCAGTCTCATCAAAGGTTGTACAGCCGTACTGACAGCCGCGTTCCCAGTGCCACGTGGCTTCACGCCATTGGGTCATGCAGCCAGTTGTTCTGCACGCGCAGAATTCAAATGGCTGCGCCGTTTGGGTTTTTCCTCCATTTTTATGTACAGCCCAAGAGTCATTCGAACCCATCATTGTCCATTCTCTCCTCCAAACAGACCCTGAACCTCCCAAACCTTCGAACCTCTAAGATCACCGCCATTACTGTCTCTGTGCTACATCCTCCATTTCAGTTCCTTTCGAAGGCTGCAATCGAGCTCTCGAGGTTGCGTTCACCCTCGCATCTGCCCCCCTGGTAAGTTACACTACCCTCCCTTGCATTTTCTGTTTATATTTCTCAAAAAAAAATTTATACCTGTTCTTCATTTCCGCGCCACTGTGCTTCGTGTGTTCTGCTTGGGACCTTTAAGGCTCTTCCTTTTTAGCCCCAATAATGTCGCACCTTAGAAAAACGGGAACTGGTGGAGTGGAGGGGGCCTTCGAGTCCCTTGATTCACCAAGCCTCAAAGCCAAACCCCTGAACTTGATATGAACAGTTCGAATCTGGACTGAACCGAGCTAAATGCTCATTTAGATCGGTAGGTAGAGCTATAGCCGAGCAAAAACTGGTTTGTGGCTTCTTACTGAGGTCGCAACCGAGCTGAATACTCAAATTAGATTGGTAAATAGGAACGCACCGAGCTGTAACTTGAGGTCTCCACTTCAAAGCCTAACCGAGCTGAATACTCCATTAGATCTGCAAATAGGAATGAACCGAGCTAGGAAATCGACCAAGTAGTCTAGCTGAGATAGGGGTCAGGCCGGTAAAACACTAAAAATCCTTTACTAAGCTATTTCCTATAGGAGCCGTGGAATTTATGCCGCGCTAACCCTTGGCCTCATTTTTTAACAATGCAGAACAAACTAGGACCGATCAGTTCAGTCAAGAACCATCACTAGTAGAGCTCAAAGACCGAGCAAATACACCAAACCTTTTTGTCCGAGATACAAGTTAGTTCACCAAATAAAACCGAGATAGATGGTGTAGACACCCCATTTTTGACCGACCTTAAGACTCAGACGTCACCAGTTGAGCACTCGGTGATTTTGCATATCGTACTCGTTCAGAAGTTTCAGAGTCGCGACCGTGAGCCCTGCCTCCGGACTTCCGAACCCTCTTCTGTGCCTTGCCTCGGTTTGTGAACCAGACTCGGTTTTCTCTGTTTCTTTTCCTGAGGGGAGGGAGAGGTCCAGTAGACCATCTCTCAGTGGCCGTGGGCTACATTTTGTGGCCGCAGGCCATTTTGCCCATTTCGGAGTCCGGTTTCCGGTTTTTCGGAACCGTTGGCCGTGTGCCTCGGTTCGGGACTGCCTAACCATCTCCGTTTGCTCTGATTTTTGGCGTACATCTTATTTTCTCCCTTTCAAGGGACACTGGGGTCTGAGAAACCCACTTCGTGGCCGAACGCCACTTTTGGTGCTTAACAGCCCATTTTCGGGACCCCGAACTGCGCGTTTTGGCCCCCGAACATTCGTTTTGCATTGGTTTTCGTTCATTTTTGGCAAGTGCCTCTGTTTTATCACCAGGAAGATCGTAGAAGGGTGGGAGGCCAGCAATTATCTTGGCAACCAGTTATATTCCATTTTCGCCCTCCGGTACCCGTTTTTCTCGCTTCCGAGCCAATGTTGAACACCTTGGAGCCATTTTCTTCAAACCCAAACCACATATTTGTGATGTACAAACATGGGAGGACCCTAAAAGTTTATGGCCGGCCATTAACTCCATTTGAACCTTTTGAACCCCTCCTCAAATTGGCTTGTTCTCTCTCTCCTGTTTTAGAGTTTCCAAATTCGAACCACAGGGTTGTGAAGAGGAGACCTGGGAGGCCACCTTTTTGTGGTGGCCGGCCACTAATTATTCTTGACCTTTTTGACCCCTAGCCGTGGTGGCCGGCCGGCCACCTGCAGCAAAAGTAATGGGCCGGCCATGTTCCTCTCTCCTTCCACTTTACAGCTGTGCAGCTGTTTCCCCCAGAAAATATCTATATCCGGGGGATATTTTGTGGGGGAACAAAGGGCTTCATTTTGGCTCCACTTTGGCCTAGGGTCTTCTCTCCCTCTCTTGCATATATTGCTGGCCTCCCAACTCAAGAAAGAGGGGGAGAAGAATTGGTTGGAGCATATACATACATATCACCCCATTTCCTTCAAGTTTTGGGCTCCATTTCTTCATCATTATCAAGCTCTACCACCACCCCTCCATTCCAGCAGCAAGGGGAGGAATTCCAGCAGCTTAAAGTTATCAAAGTTGGTCCAAGAAGCAACAAAAGCATTGGTCTTCAAGGGTGAGTAGCATTTCCCCGTTTTTGGTCCATTTCTTGCACCTTTTGTAAGCCATACATGATTATTGATTTGAGCTCCGACCAAAACTGAAAAGGTCATTTTTTTGAGCTCATTTTCTTGTTTCATTAAGGGCTCAACCCGGTTTGAGCCCTCCATATTGCACTTGCTTCAATATCCTCCTTGAATGCCATTTTCTTGCATGCTTTGGCAGCCTATCATGCTTCTGTTTTTGGTCTTTTTACAGGCCTAGAATCTAGCTTGGGTCCGGTGCCTGGCCACCTACATATATATATATATATATAAAGTGAAAGATTAAAATTTAAAGTTCTTGTTTGGTTGTGTTGAAGAGAGGGTTCGCCCTTCTCTTGAGAGTTATTTAGAGTTTGCTGATACTTTGTTGTATTAATGGTAATAGAAAGACAGATAAAACCTGAATTTATTCTTTTTCAGTTAGAGTGAACAGAATAGAAGAACTTTTGAGGGGAAAGAGATACTGTTTTTGAGAATTAAAAGCCTTTTTTGGGGTCTTATTTTGTATAGGTGGTGTCCTGGGGGGGTGAACCTATTTTTGGATTTTGTTGAAGTACTTCTGGAGTAGGAGTTCTTTGCATAACGATTTAAGCCTTTTGTATATGGATTCGGCACCTCCTTGGTGCCTTTTTTGATATAATAATTCTATTTTTACTAATAAATTTTATTTGTTTATATGTTTCAAAGTGCAGCGATGATATGTTATATTTAAGTTATTGATCATGTTAATGACAGCCCACTGGGATGTTAAGGTGGATAAAATACCTAAACTAGTTTCAATCTCACTGCACCTTTTGTTATTCATATACACTTTAAGTTATTGATCATATTCCTAACTTTCTTATATTTCTATTATTCTGTACACTTTTTACATGTGCATGGAGGTTAATGACCACCCATTGGGCAGTCATTAGCATTTTCCTTAAGTTATTTATCCCTTTCAATTGAAGATTTGATTGCATGACAGAACCTCCGCTGCGACGTGGAGATGCAGTCATTCTTGTGGGGTTAAGTAGGAGCCTGCAAGCTACATCAAGGAAATCTGTTGTCACCAACCCTTTTGCTGCTTTGAATATTGGGTCTGCCGATTGTCCACGCTTCAGAGCAACCAATATGGAAGTCATTGAGCTTGATACTGGTAACTTGGAGTTTTTACTGCTTGAAATGAATCTTAATTGTTCAAATGTTGATTGTATTTTGTATTCTTTTTTCTTTTCTTTTTTTTTTTTTGTTTTATTTTCCCTCCGTCTCCCCCCAATAAGTTTGTCATGACATTATCTCATGCGAGTTTCAGACTTCGGTGGTACATTTTCTGGTGTGCTAACTGATGAGCATGGAAGGGTTCAGGCTATCTGGGGAAGCTTTTCAACTCAGGTTTGTCATGTTTGCTCTTCCTTGTGACCTGTCTCATCGAGAAAAATTGTTCTGATTTTTCCATTCCCAATTACAGCTAAAATATGGTTGTAGTTCATCAGAAGATCATCAATTTGTCAGAGGTATTCCAGTTTATACAATCAGCCAAGTCCTTGACAAAATCATATCTGGTGGAAATGGATCAAATCTTCTCATAAATGGCATCAAAAGGCCAATGCCTCTTGTCAGGATCTTAGAGGTTGAATTTTATCCTACTTTGCTTTCCAAGGCCCGTAGCTTTGGATTGAGTGACAAATGGGTACAGGTACACTTTCTTCCTTGCAGAAATCTATTTCTTTTTTCTCTTTTATGCATTCAAGAGGGTTGCATTTTGCTTTGGTATCTAGAAATGCTTTGGAGTTAGAGTTTCGCTAATTGACACCATCTAGGAATGTCGTAGGCTAAGAAGCATGGATACAAACAAGTGACACAACACAGACACTCCGACATGATAATTTCAAAAAATGTTGAACATGACACGTGGGGAACATGTGTAAAATATATAATTTTATATATTTATCATGTGTTATATATATGCATATTTTTTTTTTAAATTAATAAAAATATACACCACAACACAGATTTTGAAAGTTTAAAGCAGAATAGATTATATATCTACGTAGTTTTTTTTTTAACATTAGATCCTAAGTCATTTTGTGCGTGAATGTGATGTATGTTATGTATGTCTTCCAACCCCACGTCTTTCTCCCTTTTATTTATCCGCTTATGATGGTTAGATTAGGGCATATTTCAATTAGCATACAGTATGACAGCATGTTTGCATTCATTCATCTGTTTTGCATGCACCGGGCTCGGCGCATCATACTAACTGCATTGTATTTTTAATTCCAAATTGAATACATGCTAGCTGTAGCATTCCATACGCCATGTTTAGAATAGCCGAGCCTGCTATAGTTGCATTTTTGCATGTGTTGCATTAAGCATTTTTGTATACTTAGGATCATGCATGATTTCTAATGTAGTTTCTATTTTGGCTTGGAGTACCCGATGAGCTTTATGCTTTAGCATCCTCGCATGCGTGTGAGTGACTGCCATGAATAGCATGCTTACCATGAGGCTAAATGCTTATATGATATAACTGCCTGAATGCCTGTGGGTGAAGGTTGGGTTACTTGGATTGGAATAAGTCATCAATTTTTTGTTTTAAGCCCACTAGATAGTGGCAAAACCATCTTTTCTAAGCCCACCCGAGGGTGGCAAAATCTGCATTTTTAGCCTACTTGCGAGTAGCAAACCATCTTCAAAAAGCGAACATGAAATGTTTTGTTCCAATTCAGGCGATCCATTCTATACTTATATGTTGTGCGCATCACATAGTAACCTAGGCTAATAATCGGAATAAGAACTCACAATGTTTTCAAAAATAGATATCATGGTTAGTAGAGCCCGATCTTTGATCGGGCGAGCGGGGGTGCTCACGAAGTGACCTTCCCCAATCGTACCCAAGTTCCCGAGCTGAGGCAACTTTGGTGATGACGGACACGTGGCCTTTGGCACCGAGTCAGGGTTTCCTAAATTCCCCCATAAAAAATATTTAGGTGGCGACTCTGTATCTGGCAAAGCAGTCCATGTTTGGCACTTCTTTTCAAAAATCTGTTTCTCAAAACGATTTGCCGGATTTGGACTCTTTGGTTCAGATTAAGAATCGTGACAATTTGAGAGTCCGAGCTGTAGTGACCCCAATATGAACAGAACGGGAGCTCGTTCCTCCCAGGGCATTCGGGGACGTCTACAGATGGGCAAGTACCGATTCATGGTGAGCTGGCCGAGTTTCGTAGGGAGTACAACATCCCAGATGACGTCGTCTTAGAGCTCGCCAAAAAGGGAGACACCCCTTGGGGGGATCTACACCGGTGCCCCTTCACCATCGTATTAATAGTAGAGGGAGGGCTTCGTTTCCCGGTTCAACCCTTGATCTGCGAATTTTTGAGGCAAACAAGGCTTTGCCTGACCCAAGTTTCAAATAACACTTACAAAATAATAAACGGGGTCGCCGAGCTGAACCGGAGGCTCGGTCTCAATCTCGGTCTGGCCGAAATTTTCCATCAGTATAGTCTAAGTAGAAATAAGAATGGGCTTTGCTGGTACCTCAAAGTCAAGAAGGGCCGAGCAAAGCTAATGGAGGGCAACCCAGACAAGGAGACCAACGACGACGACTTCTTGTGGGTGTCCGGTGGCTATGAGGACACGGAGGCACCCATACCGGGATGGTATATTAGAAAGGATTTTGGCAGTGCCGGTGAGTCGCTCGGCTGACCGCGATATTTTCTTTATGCATCAATTACTTTCCATGCCGATCTAACACTTGTCTTCTTTTTGCAGATAAGCACCTAGCAGCAGACTACCACCAGGCCAACCAAGAGGCCATCAGAGCCCTGCTGTGCCATCCTGCCGAGGAGAGGGGGGCTTCGAAACTGCTCGGCTTCGAACAGACCTACCATTACACCGCACCGCGTAAGAGTCGGGTTACCGACTTTCTGCGTGCACCAACCCCAGAACTAGATCCAAACCTACCACCGATCAGGCTTGTTCCACTCACCGCCGAGTAAGAAATGGCGAAAATCAGGGCCATCAAGTCCATGATCACTGGAGAAGAAGGCGAGTCCCAAAAACCAGAGGCAACCGGGGGGACATCCTCCAAACCCGCCGGGCAACAAGAAGGGGCAGTACTGGCACTTGCCAGTGAGCAACCGACTGGCCGGTCAAAGAAAAGACCGAGGAAGGACCCGGCCGGGCAAAGCCTCGCTGACGAAGACTCCACTGAGCTCGCCGCCACCGAGCTGGGCGACCAGACCGAACAACCATTGGGCGGGCCTTCTAAATCCCCAAGCTCCCCCCTGGTCTGGGCGCCCGAGATAACGTGCAAGGGCCGGGCAGTCTCGTCTGTTGATTTGGTGTACGCTGACAAGGATTACTCCCTTGGTTTCAATATGACCAAGGGGCTAATCCTTCCAGCCGACATGAAGAAGCACGACGAGTTGTCCGATCTGAAAGTGCTTCGCTCGACAGCCAAGTCGATAGTGCTGGTAAGTTTTTCATTTTGTTTTATTTTGTCTTCAAGTCATTGCTCGGCTTTTGTTCGGTTGCCTTGGTAATCATGATCTCTCATTTGCTTGCAGGCCGCGCAAAAGAATTACCTCGCCCACGAGCGTATGATCGCCGTGCGGCAGAGTTTGCGTGAGACCATCATCGAGAATAAGGCCCAAAAGGCTGAGATAGCAAAACTCAAAGCCGCGCAAGAAGCAGTCGCGGCAGAGGAAGACATCCTGAGCCAAAAGGTCGACCGAGCTAACGAGGACAAACAACGGGCCGTGAAGTCAGCGAAGGCTCGGTACCTTGCCGAGCTGAGGAAACTGCGCGATGCCAACAAGCTAGCCATGGACAAGGCAGTCGAGGATGCCAAGGACCGGGGATACGCTCAGGGCGAGAAGACTTACGAGCGCCAGGTCCAAGCGACCAAGGACATCTTTTTCCAGTGCGGTTGGAAAGCCGCCGTGGAAAAAGTTGGCCTTGGTCAGGACGCTGACATGTTCCTTAACCCCCCTACAGCCTACATCCCGGTCTATATGCAGGCGTACGCCAGTGCTACCCAGAACCGGCTTATCGTTGAGGCAAGGAAAGAAACCGAGGAAGAAGCCGCCGTCGCGCAACAAGCCGAGCAAACCACTACCGAAGCATCCCAAGATGCGGAAGATGAAGTGGCTGACCGGGAGGTTGCTGTGGAGGATGGAGCAGACGATGACGCTGAGGAAAACCTGCCCGAGCAGACAACTGAGATCACCGAGCAGACGACGGAGGCAGCCGAGCAAACCGTGGACCTTGAACTGGACTAAAGATCTTCCTTGTTTTGTTTTTTTTTTTTTCTTGGTTTTTTTGGATGTAACGGGCTATGTCCCCCATCTTGTACTGAAATTTCCTTTATCAATGAGAATTTTCGACTTCTTGCTCGTACATCTTCTATTTCTGTTCAGTTGGCGTGTGCATAAATTCCTTGATTCAATCGTTGACAATTCACAACTGCCAGGTCGGCTATGCCGCACAATTTGCCGAGCTAAAATCACCTTAGACGTTTTCTAATCAGAATTAGCAGTTCGGCTCCTCGAACTTTCAGATGATCTGACATTTTAACTCGGCCGAGCAAATCTGCTCGGCCTTGACTAGTTTGTAGACTTTGTAGAATCCCAATACTTCAACATGACCGAGCAAAATTCAGCTTGCCTTTTAAGTTGGGTAAGCCGCCAACATTTCTTTTCCGCCGAGCAAAACCAGCCCGGTTTTTTATCGGTTGGACAAAACTCCAACATTGCGAATTCTGCCGAGCAAACTCCGCTCGTTTTCCATATTGGACAAGACACCAATATGCCAACTGGGCTGAGCAAAATCAGTTCGGCCCTTACATTGGGCAAAACATCAATGTTTCAGTTAAGTTGGTCATGACGCCAACATTTCAACCGGGCGAGTAAAACCAGCTCGGCCCTTATGCGAATTGGTCCATACGCCAATTATGTCGTTGGACAATGCACCAACTGTTTGTGCGGTCTCCCTGCCCCTGGCATCCATAATTGCCTGGCGTCCTTGCGATGTCATTGTACAAAGATGTAATACCAAACAACAAGAGGACTATTTTTCATTACAAAAGCATTGCTATCTTTTACATCAAGTGCCAAAAGGCTAAAGGTCTAGAAAAGCTAAACAGCACAAGCAAATTACATTTTAAAAGTAAAAGACCTTAAGGTTGGCCGCATTCCATGGTCTGGGGACAGCCTTGCCATCTAAATCTTCCAGATGGTATGCCCCTTTACCAGCAAGACCAATCACCTTGTATGGTCCTTCCCAATTTGCACCGAGCTTTCCTTCGCCCGGGACCACCGTGTTGCCAAGCACCTTTCTTAATACCCAGTCCCCAATCTTGAATAGCCTGGGGTGCACAGCCTTGTTGTACTTTTTGGAGAGTTCTTGTTGATAAGCCGCTATGTGGATCAATGCTCGCTCCCTCCTTTCTTCAGCAAGGTCTAGCTCCAATGCCACCGCTTCATTATTCAGATATGGCTGGAAATTTTCAGAGCGGATGGTTGGCATGCCAATTTCCAACGGGATGATGGCCTCCATGCCATAGGCCAAAGCAAATGGTGTTTCCCCGGTCGACCGCCTTGGCATAGTGCGGTATGCCCAGAGCACATTAGAGAGTTCTTCAGCCCACTTGCCCTTGGCCTTCTCAAGCCGCTTCTTCAGTCCGTCCAGGATGGTCTTGTTTGAGGCTTCTGCTTGACCATTTGACTGAGGATAGGCCGGCGTTGAATTGTAAAACTCGATCTTCAACTCTTCGCAAAATCCGCGAAAGAATTTTCCATCGAATTGAGTGCCGTTATCCGAGATGAGGGCCTTGGGTATACCGAAACGGGTGATGACATTTTGCCATACAAACTTCTTCACATCC